AGCGCTGTGGGCAGACCCTCCGCCCTTCCCTGGGCTGGAGCCCCTCTGTTCACGGTGCCGCCTCCCTGGGAGGTGTGAAGGCCCCAGGGCAGGGGCCACAGGTGGGGGAGGGCTCAAGTCCCTAGGGCCGCCCCCCTGCAGCTGCAACTCTCCCCAGAGACCCTCACAGCTGCACTGCACAGGGGATGTGGGCTGGGGCAGTGACCATTTATGGCTAGAAGACTAGGACTTGGACTGGGCACTGCGGCAGAGTCAGGCCTGGGTGTCCTAGGAGGCCCCCACATTCTTCCAGAACGTGCTGACATCTTCCAAAGCAGGCTTACTCTTGGGAGGCAGCCGGGCAGGCTGTGTGGCGTGGGGAAGAGCTCAGGTGGCCTTCAGGCGCTGTGGGTGGTGTCACACCTGCTGAGGGCTTCCAGGTGGCAGTGATGGGCGGGCTCCCGTTGGGTGCTCCCAGCCCTGAGCGCTGTGGACCCTCCGGGCTGCAGGTTACCGGGTGAAGCAGGCCTGTGGGGAGCAGACTGGCACATTGTGTGCTCCCTGCACGCCAGGGACATACACGGCCCACCTCAACGGCCTGAGCGAGTGTCTGCCGTGCCGAGTCTGTGACGCAGGTGAGCACACTTCCCCAACCACCACCACGCTCAGCCCGGAATCCTGGTGCTGCAGCACAGCCACACCTCAGGACCACGGTGCTGCCCCCGCGCCAGGCCTCCCCATCCCCAAGGAGGGCTGTCTGATGGGGTGGTCTCTCTGTCTCTCCCCAGACGGAGGCTGGTGTCTCCTCCCCCTGTCATCTGTCACCCCGACCCTCCAGAGCTCAGGGGCACCCAAGCCTGGGGCAAACCCCAATGGAGCCAGAGGGTTCCGCACTGCCTCCCCCAGCCTATGGGCCCAGGGTCCTGGCCTCAGCCCCCCACAGTGTGTGGGCTCTCAGGAGCCTGCAGCACCCCCACAGCCTACGCCCAGGGGCCCCTCCTCACGGGCTCAGCGCTCGGACCCTGGGCCTTCTTCCTGCCTGGTGCAAGTGGTTGGGGTGGAGGGACCCCAGGAGGAAGGGCATGACAAATGTGGGGGCTGGAATGCTTTGGGGATCAATGACATGGGGCTTAGGGGCTCGGGGCCTCGAGCTACACCCACAGATCCCTGACCCCGAGTGGGCTGAGGCTGGGGCACAGATGGCATTGAGGCTGTCCCTCAGGAGGGGAACGGGGGGCCCAGGCCCAGCTGTCACCCCACCAGCACTGCCAGCTGAGGAGGGGCTCTCACTGTCGTCTCTGCCATCTGACTGTCCTTTGCAGGGTGGGAACCCCTCTGAGGGACGGGTCTTCAGGGGTGGGCCGCCTGGGGCCGGGACCTGCCTCCTGGGGCCCCACAGCTGCCGTCATTCTCACTTCCTGCCAGCCCGGCAGAGCAAGAATTTCAGTTTCCCCACAGGCCCCGGCTCCCCTGTTGGGGCCACCCTTCCAGCACCTCCCGCTGGCCAGCCCTTCTCCGCTCGCTGTGCCGCTAATGTCCCTCAGAGCCCCTCTGGGACTCGCCTCTGTGTCCAGCACCTCTGGCACTGTGTTTTGGCTGAGCCAGGGTACAGCTGTCAGGGTCCTGGGTGCGGGCAGAGTTGGGCCCAGGCACACATACCAGGGCTGCTGTGCTGGCCTGGGGTCCTGTCACCAACCCCTCCTCAGACCCCAGGCAGGAGTCCCCAGGCCTGTGGGTGCTGTCCAGTCCTCTGCTTTGTCTCCTTCTGGGACAGAGTGCTCACCACCGCCTGTGCTGCCCTTGCTGCTGCTCTCAGCTCTTTCTCTTGGATCCCAGCCATGGGCCTGGTGGTCAGGCGGCAGTGCTCGAGCACAGAAAACACCGAGTGTGGCTGCGACCAAGGCCACTTCTGTGTCAGCGAGGAGGGGGACGACTGTGTCGAGTGCCGGCCCCATGCTGCCTGCAGACCGGGCCAGAGGGTGCAGGAGAGAGGTGAGCCGAGCCCCAGGTCCCTCTGCCCAGCGACAGAGCACCCCAGTCCTCCAGCACCCTCTGAAGAGACAGATCCCAGGCCCAAGCCTGAGGGGGAAGGCCAGCTCCCCTTCCGGCAGGGCCCCTAGGCCCCCTCTGCCCAGCCGTCTCCTTTCTCAGGCACCGAGTGGCAGGACACGGTGTGTGAAGACTGCCCGCCTGGGACCTTCTCTCCCAATGGGACCCTGGGGGAGTGCCAGCCCTGGACCAAGTACGTGATCCTGGGGGGCTCAGCCCCATGCTCCTGAGGGGTGGTCCTCGATGCTCCCCTGGGAGATAAGTGCTGTCCCCCAGCAGAAGGCCCGCAGGCCGCACCCTGGCCCTGCCCGTCAGGTGCCAGCATCCAGGAAGCCCCTGCTGGGACCCCGTGGTTCACACACAGCACATCACACTGGCTGAGAGCCGAGCGGAGCAACGTGGCTCCGGAGATGGACTATTCCTGGAGCACAACTGCAGGGATGCTGCTCCCTGGTCCCTGGTCCCCTGTGCTTCTGTGGTGTCACAGGTGTCAGAGCTGTGGAGGTGTCCCTGTGATTCTGGAGTTGAGGGAGCCTATAGGGCAGATTCTCACAGTGAGGACCCCACTTGTGCTGCAGCGGGACCCCCCAAATGCACACTCCGGGGCCCACATCTGACCTGGGTGCTCAGAGTGTCTGAGGGGAGCCTGCTGTCTCTGGGGGGAGCCTGGGGTGACCAGATGTGGCTGCCACAGTGGAGGGGTACAGCGGCCCACTCTCTCCACTCTGCCTTGCCCCTCCTGTCCCTTCTCCATGTCTGTCCCCCTGTCTGAGGCATTGGCTCTAACGGTCTGTCATCCCGGACACCAGCTCTCTTCATGATCTCTCCCTCTCCCTGTCCCGGTCTCCAGCTGTCACTCTTCACTCTCCCTCTCCCCTTCCTTATCTCCTAGTTTCTCTCCTCTTCCTTTCTTCTCTCCTTCTTTCAGCCCTGGGGCTTGGAAAGTTATTCAGACCTGAGTTGACACCCAGAGCTGTCCACTGCCCCTGCACCAGGCAGCGCCTGCGTCTCTCTGAGCCCGGCCGTGCAGCAGGGACCTTCCCGGGTCGAAAGAGGATCCTGCTTCTGCTGCCCCCGGGCTCCGGATCCCACCAACCTTCTCTCCTAGATGCAGTGGCCCCTTTGAGACGGAAGTGAAACCTGGGACCAGCAGCACAGATGTCACATGTTCCTCCCGGGGCCTCAGCATTTTTGTGGGCGTTCTCGTCGGGTTTGTGTTTTGTGGCCTCGTAGTCTTCGGGATATGGATGAAAATCAGAAGGGCGGCTGGTGAGCAGTAGCATGTGGTCTTATCAGGGCTCAGGCCCGAGCACCCACAGCTCAGAGACCCTCTAGGGCTCTGAGAGACAGTCTGAGAGACCCTCAAATCTGGGGGAGGGGGTGGCCCCCAGGAGCATCTCCAGGATTCCCTGGCCCCTCTGAAGAGCAGATGCTGCTGGCCTGGGATGGTGGGCTTCCTGCTGAGTGGGAGCCCTGATGTCATGGGCTCTCCCGGGGGTGGGGGATAGCAGGGTGGGAGCCCCTGTCCAAGGAGCCCTCTGCCACCCCTGTGCCCACTCACCACCATGGACTCCGAGCTCCCGTCTGCCCTGGAGGGACAGTGGGAGAATCTGTGGTGTGGTGAGATCCTCTGGGAGGGGGGGGTTGGAGGGTCAGCAGCCTCCCTGCTGTGGCCAGTTGTGTCCCCACTGAGAGACTGTCGTTCATTCATTCGTTCATTTATTCATTCATTCATTCTTCGCTCATTAGTTCCTTCACAAATTAGTTCCTTCACGACCTTTGTTCGTCCAGTTATCTGCCCTGCTCTGGGCAGCTCACCTGGGCCAGGTCCAGCTGGACACCAGGATCCGGGCTGTGTAGACCCAGCTCTGGCCATTGGGGAGCCCCCTGTATGCCCAAGGGGGAGCAGGCACTCAGCAAAGAAATCCAGATTGGGGAGGTTGCCCACGTTCTCGGGCTGCTGTCAGCAAATCATCCTTCGTCCTCCCCCCCGGGACTCCCAGACTGCTGGGAGGTCTCTGCATCCCAGGCTGTGAGCAGACTGGACCAGTGGCCCTGGGTCCCTTCTCACCCAGATTCTGTGGCACCTGCCCTCTGAGGGGTGGGGGGACCCTCCTCTGTGAAGTGCACCCCATCTCTCCCTGGGTTATGGTCAAATTGGGGTGAGTTAGGGACCGGGGTTTGACAGCTGGGGAGGTGGGCACGGGTGCCCCCATGTCTTTTCACATGTCCTGGGCCCCCTGGGGGACAGGCCCTGCCAGGAGTCCCATCCACATCGGTCTCCCTATCTCTGAGAGGGTCAGTTTCTCAGGGAAGGTCACACAGCGAGAAACCGGGAGCGTGGGCCCCCTCATTGCTGTGTGGCCCCTCCCTGACGTGTGTGTCTCTGTTTTGCAGAGGGACCCGCTCGAGTGAGATTCTTCTCTCAGGTATTATTGCTTGTCCCCCAGTGGAGGTGACACTGCAGGGCAGGTGGGGCCCCAGTTCTGTGAGGGTCCTGAGTCCTTAGTCTACAGCCATGCTAACTCGGGAAGAGAGGACACAACCCCTCCCCTAGAAACCCAGGCTGACCCTGAGCATCACGAGGAGGCCCATGGGCTGGAGCCAGGCCAGGCAGTGTCTTCATGCTGAATGTGTCCTGCAGTGGAAATGGCGGCGTGCGGAATGGGAAGTCACAGCTGCCCAGGCCGAGCAACTCATGCCGGATGTCACCACGGTGGCTGTGGAGGAGACAGCATCCATGTTCACTGAGAGGGACCAACATGCTGGCCAACAGCTGCAGGTGCAGCTGTCTGAGAAATCTCAGACTGCGCCTGCTGAAAGCTGCCAGGCCCTCAAGGGCTGAACGTGGGGACCAGGAGAGCCAACGGGACCCACTCCGGGGCTTGCTTCAGACTCTGTCCAGCAGAGGGAGAGATAGGCCACTGCTCAGGGGGCTTTATGGACCCCACACCTCCCCACCAATCACATTCGTGTCCTGAGCCCTCCACTCACCCCTGTGCTGACCCCGCGCTGACCCAGCACTGTGAGGACATGGCCACAAGCCACTTTTGGCTCCATGCCCTGCCTGCTCCCCGGCCCTCCGAGCCTCAGCTTGCTCCTCTGTGGGCTGGGCCCGTGGGCACTTACCTCCCGGGCTGGGACTGGACGGGACAGGCCATGAATGTGGCATTATGTGAATATCACATTTGGAACACATTTTTAAATTGGAGTTGTGTGCCCCATTTTTTCATTTGTTATTAAAAAAGTATATTTTGGGGAGATGCTTTGAGAGTATGTAAATATTCTGTTTCTCCTCAAACTTTCTGAGAGATCACGAGAAGCACCGACAGGACGTGTCGATGACTGTGTTGCGAGGAGCTTTGAGACTATAACATCACCCACTTCTCATCAAGCAATTATCTGTTGGTTTTTCTTGCCTGAACAATGGCATTCCACTGGAAAGAACTTTCCCCTTTCTTTCATTCATTCATTCATTCATTCATTCATTCACTGATGCATTGACCTCATGAGGATCTCCTGGTTTCTGATTCTGCTTCTGGGTTCTAATCCATTACTCTCTACGTCGGTGCTCAAATCGTCCCCGCTCTTACCAGTAGGAGTCCCTTTATAATGGCTCCTGGATTCCTTTGACATATCCCTATCATTCCACGAGCCTGTCTTTAATTTCTGGCCCAGCAGGATGTTCCAGGCTTCTCTGGTTCTTTCCCTGCCCCAGTCCTGGGACCGGATGTTTCTCCATGGAGCCCTGGCCGTTTTTATGGAGGATGGTATTTAGAAACCAACACGAGTGGGCGGCTGGTGTGCTCATTGTCACTGGGGTGTCATTGCTTCCAGGATTCACAGGGGACGAGTCAGGAGTCATATCCCCACACCTCTGGACACACGTCTCTCAGAGACACACACGGAGCTGAGACACAGATCTGTGTGCAGGTGCACTGCCCACGCGGCAGCACGGTTTGCACCGAGAGCTCTGGTTCTGGACGGACAACAGCGTGCATTCTGTCTGTTCCCTTTCTGTGTCTGTGACTCCAGACCCTGACATGAACCCGGCTTCCCTTGTCCGAGCACATGTACTCGTTGGCTCCGTCCTAGAACACGCAGGGTCGTCTCAGAATTGCTCCTGCTGTGAAAATCCTCCCGAGGAGCCAGAGGTCAATATTTGCCTTCAGTTCGTTCTTCCTTTCCTCCAAATATCATGCTCCAAAGTTACATTGGTTAGTTTTTTTTTTTTTGGTGAGGAAGATTAGCCCTGAGCAAACATCTGTTGCCAATCCTCCTCTTTTTTGCTGAGGAAGACTGGCCTTGAGCTAACATCCATGACCATCTTCCTCCACTTTATATGGGATGCTGCCACAGCATGGCTTGATAAGCGGTGCGTAGGCCCACGCCCAGGATCCGAACCTGTGAACCCTGGCCCACCGAAGTGGAGCACACAAACCCAACCACTATGCCACTGGGCTGGCCCATACATTGGTTAGCTTTTATTTTATTTTTTTTTTCAGTGTGGTTGTTTTATTCATTTGAAATATAATTTTGTTCATTCTTTGAGTCTGAATTCTGTCTTACATGTTTGTCCTCAACCCCTGTTGATTCTCTGTAGCTGTGTGGCTACCTGTGTATTTATATTTATCCATCTCTCTACCTTATTTATTTCTTCATCTGTGGGGCATTAACATGGGCGTTAATGTCAGATTAGTGGTCTTACCGCAGAGGCTGGCAGTACAAGAGCGTGACAGACGCTGTGATGTGTATGAGGAACCCATCCTGAGTGGAAGATTCGGGTGGATCACAAGTCGAAGCAAGGATGAGGAGTGTATTCCTGTCACGGCACATGGACGTCAGGAGAAGGACTCTCACAAGATGTGAGAAGGGCTCAATTTCCCAAGCAGCCACCCCGGGCTTAGTGTCCAATCACCCAACAGCTGCAAGTTAATTAGGCAAACGCTGACATAACTGGAAGGAGGGACACCCAGAGGCACTGTGACAAGTGGGGCTTTCACTGTCCTCTCTCAGGCACTGACAGAACCAGAGAAGACCAGCAAGGAGAGGGCAGACCTGAGCAGCGCCATCACCCCTCCACCTCCACTCACTGGTGCCCCCGGACGCCCGGGCACAGCAGCAGAACGCATGCCCCCTTATGTACTGATGGGACTGTCACCGGCTGGAGGTGGGCTGAGCCTCCGAGCAGGCTCAGTGAAATTAAAAGCTGTGAGATTCTAGGGAGTAGACGCTTCCACAGCCAGCCTCTGGGCCCCAACAGGGCAATGGCTGCTAGAGGCTGCCGGAAGGGCTCTGGACGGGTGTCCACCCTGCAGCCCCCAAAGGCCACGCCCACCTGGGCGGTGCACCTGGGTCCGCCAGGCCCTTCTCCTCCGACTGGAGCAAGGCCAAGACAGGAGGCCCGCACTGAGCCTGTCTTTTTTCTGATGTGGTGACATGTGGGGCCTCGCTCACCCTGGGGAGACAGCCCCTCCCAGGGCCGGTCAGTTCCTGGAGAGAGTGAAGGCTGGTCTGGTAACGCACCCTTCACATGCCAACTGATCCAGGGCCCACTCCCCACCTCCTCTGTTGGGTCTTACACTCCAGGCCAGTCATCCCTGCCCTAGTCACCCCAGGGCAGGAAGGGGCACCCAGGGCCAGTGCCTACTGCCCAGAGCCCGCTGAAAGTATTCCCACTAGCCAGTCCCCAGCCTGCTGATCACCTGTCCCCGCCTTTCCTGCAGAAACCAAATCAAGGCTCATGCCCACGTTGTCTCCTCGTCCCTCTGCCTCCTGAGCCACACTGGTCTTCCCCACGTGGCCCCCGTGGCGTGGTGTGCCCCTTCTATTGGGAACTGTGAGCACCGTCTTTCCAATGACAGTTGTCTTCTGAAACGTGGGCCTCAGGATAAGGCCTTCAGATCAGGAGATGATGATAAAATCTGTGTTTTTAAAACGAGAAGTGCTGTCTCAGAGTTGGATAGAGGGGCTCTGGAGGGGCAGGGCTGGGCTGGGGCCCAGAGGGTGGGCTTCTCCACCTCGCCTCCCTCCGCCTCCCACTGGATGGAGCAGCCAGTTGCCTGAGAAGGAGCCCCCGGGATGGAGGTCAGGATGCTGGGGGAGGTGTTAACCTCAATGTGGTCAGGCAAAACCTCAGCCCTGTGTCACCTCCAGGTGTGGCACCAGCCTCATGCACCAGGCCCTGGATAGGAGCTGCCAAGGGTGCCCCATCCCTGCCCCACACGCCTCTCTGGGCTCAGGGCGGCCCAGGCAGGATGCAGCTGGGCGGTGTTGGCTGCGAGCATCATCTAACTCCTGGGTCGAGTCTGGGAGCAGCTCCTGCAGGTGCAGAGGGCTCCTGCGGTCGGCCCGGTTTCCCCGCCGCAGCAGGGCTGATGCTGTGATGCGCCTTGTGTCTTCTCTTGCACACCCGTGCTGGCCACTTCGCCCTCTGCTCACTGGGTCGAGGAGAGTCCTAGAACTTTACCACGAGGGCGCTTGCCTACTGTCTGCCACAACCAGACCTGGAGTTCCGAGGGCCACCCTGAGAACCACTTGGGTGCCAGGCAAGACCCTCCTGGTCAGGGTCCAGGATGCCTGCCAGGAGCGAGACTGCTCTCCTGCCTGCTGGTCTCTCAGCAGCAGGAGTCCCACGTGATTGGCTGGCGGCCACAGTGTGAGGTTCAGCGGGACTCTTGCTATGTCCCTAGTGAAAGCCCCCTCCCCCCACCCTGGGCACAGGACCCCTACCCCTTGGAAACCAGAGCTGCCTGACGCAGAGCACACATTTGCAAGGGTGCAGGCCAAGCCTCGAGGGGCAGACCCTGCCCTCCTGGGACTCAGTGTCCCTCAGCACTGGGGACCAGCTGGGCCCACACAGCTCACCTTGCCCTGGGCGGGGGAAGGGTCAGGCCAGAGAATAGCTGCCCTGGAAAGGGGCCAAGGACGGGGCGGGCCCTGCAGAGAGAGCCGACCCAGTGGGGAGGGCAACACCGTGGGGGACAGAGGGAGGGGAGAGGCCCGAGACTCAGCCAGGGACTGAGAGAGCAGGAAAGCACAGACCCCATGGTGCTGTCTGCAGGTTCCCTGAGGTTGGGACCCAAACGGGTCAGTTCCAGAGTCAGGTCTCTTGCAAGGAGATGCCCACCCATCTCCCCATGTGCTGGTCCCACCTCCCATTCCTGGCAGCTGAGCTGCAGAGATGAGAACCCCCCGGCCAGCAGGTAACCCTGAGCCCCGGCCTCCTGCTGTGGAGGAAAGGGTGTTGCTAGCAGGGAAGAGCTGCTGGCTAATGGACCCAGGTCTCACTGGTAGCCTGCCCCACTTCCTCGGGACACTGGGCCAGGGGAAGTGGCCTGGAGGAGATAGAGGCAGGAGCAGAAACAGCTGGCTAGGTCAGAGTGGCGACGAGGGTGTGGTTTGAGAAGTGGGCTCAGGCCTGCCGGGCAGGCAGACACTGGAGGGCTCAGGGCTGGGTGCTGGGGGCTGCAGGGAGTGGGGAAGGGCAGGGTGGGGAGGGAGCGTGCAAAGACTGGGAGGGGGGACCTGGCTAGCTTATGGTGGGGCTGGGGGGTGAGGCCCCTCTGAGCAGGGAGCCCTCCCCTCCTGCCCTCATCCCCTCCTGCACCCATAGATGGTCCTGTCCCATCCCATCCTAAGGCTTCCCTCGGACCCACCACTAACCAGCTATACACCTAAACTGGGGAAGAGGAGCCACATCTCTGAAACACAAAACAACGTTACCCTAGGGAGAGCGGCGCAAGCCTATTCTAGATTCATTTCAGCAATAGGGTTTATGACCTTGATGTTGGGGCAGGATGTCCCAATGGTACAACTGTTATTAATGGTTCCTTTGTTCATTGATTAAAGTCTTAGTGATCTGAGGTCGACGGGAGGAATCCAGATTGGTTTCTATCTATTCCACATTT